TACTCCTTAGTTTTACTGTAATGATTTCTGTCTTTTCAGTTAGTGTGAAGCCCACTGTTTGCTGGCTTTTGTGTATTTTCAGTTTGATGGTCATGACATCAAATTCTTACAAAAAGAACATGTACTTATTTCAGTGTCAGGAAGAGATTTTCTGTGTAAAATTGAGTTTTCATTGAATATATTAAGTTTCTGCCTCTTCAAGATTTCCTCTTTAAACATTGTTTTATCTTCTTCCAGAAATTATTTAGCAGCATCAACAAAGTGGATAAACTTTCCAAGATAATGTAATCCAGATCCTGTCTCATGTTGCTGTTTTTAAACTTCTTCAGTGCTCCTTCATTCTTCCTGCCTCATACTGCCATCTTGTACATGGATGAAACATATTTACACTTCAGTAAACAGGGAAGTCATCCTTGCAAACACCAACATTTTTACGGATAGTGAAAGGAAACTCTGGGATAGTATTGTTCAGCATTCCTACACTGAATAGGCCTACCCACACCAGCAGGTAGTATACTCGTAGGTATGTGTATACTAGCAGGTATAGATATACTAGTAGGTAGCATACCTACACTGAATGAATATTAAGGAGTATTAAATTCAGGAGTTGCCCAGGCAGATCATCTTTTCTTGTCTTTCCAGCACATTGCTTGATCCTTTGCAGCTCATGATTTGAACCAGTGTAGTACTTTGACTGAACTGCTCTGAGAAAATACAGTCTCATCAGCCAGTATTTGTCTTCTTTCAGATTCAAGCTTAGAATTAGCTATGGGTCCACCTGTCGTGGTTTAAGTCCAGCCAGTAACTCAGAACCATGCAGCTGCTCGCTCACTACCCCCTTCTTCTTCCCCCCGCACCCAGAGGCATGGGGAGGAGAATCAAAAGAATGTAACTCCCACGGGTTGAGATAAGAACAGTCCAGTAACTAAGGTATAACACAAAACCACTGCTGCTACCACCAATAATAATAATGATAAGGGAAATAACAAGGGAAGAGAATACAATTGCTCACTACCCGCCGACTGGTTCCCAGCCCGACCTGAGCAGTGATCTAGCCCTTCTGGGCAACTGCCCCCAGTTTATGTACTGGGCATGATGGGCTGTGGTGATACCTCTTTGGTTACTTCGGGTCAGGTGTCCTGTCTCTGCTTCCTTCTGGCTTCTCCTCCTCCCTGGCAGAGCATGAGACTCTGGAAAGGCCTTGGTCAGAGTAAACATTACTTAGCAACAACTAAAAACACTGGTGTTATCAGCGTTGTTCCCAGGCTGAAAGTCAAAACCACAGCACTGCACCAGCTACTAAGAAGGAGAATAATGACTGCTACTGCTGAACCCAGGACACCACCTTTTCCCATATTTTTGTCAACTTCCACCTTGTGACTCACATAGATCTGGAGTATCAAAAATTCTCTGCACCACTCACTGCAAACCTAAAAATATTACCTTCAGAGTGCTGAAGAATTTTAACGTGTCCCCTTACATGCTCCATGACAAACTTTTTTCCATTTTCATCACATTCCAAAGTCTGTACCATTTCTTGTTTAGTGTAATTGTAATGCCTGAGCAGACATTTGGTGTAACAAAGGTAGATTATAGTGATAAAGAGACTGGAAATGGTAAGTTCTCATCTTCTGGATTTTTAACTATCAAAATTTATGTGATGAAGTAAATATGTGGGCTGCTGTGTGTATTTAGTTAAAATTCCTATTTTCTAACAGATTTGTACAAAGTACAGTCTCTTCAAAATTTATACACAACTACTGCAACAAATCAGTAAAATTTTGGATTTTGTTGTATTTCTGCAGTAAATCTTAACTCCAGAGCTCGTTTACCACCATTATTATGTGGTGATGCAATTCAAGGAAGGCAGCAGAATCATAATTTTAAATTTTCCGTATCTTATCAAACTGGCAGAGAAAATAAATACATACTTAGATAACTCTGAGTAAACTCTCCTACTCACATACTCATTGAAAGTGCACTGACATAACAAAGAATCTAGCAAAAGAGATAGTAAAGTTTTGGGCCTGCTTTGTTATTTAAATAAGAATGTGAGTTTGAATACAGCAACCACAGGATCACAGAAGTACTTTAACCACCTACACACACATGGACTAGTTTTGTTTCAGCAGTAAGATGAATGGATCTAATTAGCTACAGGGAAAACCAGGCAAATGTCTTGAACCATGCCCTGAAGCCCCACAGCCACCAGTGCTGACACTGGCAGTAAAGCCTTCAGTTTTACAGAATGCCAACACATGGGCCAGGTGCCAGAGTTAAGCCCTACATTAGTCCAGGTGGTTCTTTGACTGAGACAACACAACTTCAGATGCTTCACACCTCTTAAGGAAAGGGGATCTGTTCATGTCCGTCACCAATTCAGCAAGATGATCATTCAGTGATTCTGCTCATGTGCTATGTAGCATGGAATCAAGTAATCACCACTTTGCTGTGCCTGGGAAATGAGTTTTTACTAAAGTGTCCTGATGAGAAATCTTACTACACCTGGATGCACTAGTATAGGCAGCACATGGGGCAGAACAGAAAACAGCAGAAAAGTGACACCCCCAATGAAAACCAGTCTATGATCAACCTATAGTCAAAGGTGTGAATCAGGGTATATCTGTGGTTCTTTTTAGTTTGGATCAGGAGTGCACTTTTGAAGCAGGTATTTCCAACACCCCCACTTACTGTGCTTTGGCTCTCACTGAAGAGGTCTTGCTACACACAAACTAGATTCCTGTCAGATGAAACTAAACCAGAAGTGTTCCATAAGGATGCCCAACACTCAACTGCTAGGAGGTATCTGGTCAACCAGACAGGCCACCTGAAAGGCACACAGGACAGAAAACTTCTGCCTGTGGCTTGGACAGGCGTATTCTTTGCTGAGTAAAAACTGGATGGATGGCCTGGCCCAAAGAGTGGTTAAATCCAGCTGGCAGCTGGTCACAAGTGGTGTTCCCCAGGGCTCAGTAGGGCCAGTTCTGTTTAATATCTTTAGCAGTGGTTCAGAGGAGGTGATTGAGTGCACCCTCAGTAAACCTGCAGATGACACCATGCTGGCTGAAAGTGCTGAAGGATAGGAAGGCTCTGCAGAGGGATTTGGACAGGCTGGGTTAATGGGCTGTGGCCAAGGCAAAGTGTCAGGTCTGGAACTTGGACCACAACAGCCCCATGCAACGCTACAGGCTGCGGGAAGAGTGGCTAGAAAGCTGCTCAGTGGAAAAGGACCTGGGAATGTTGGTAATCAGCTGGCTGAACGTGAGCCAGCTTGTGCCCAGGCAGCCAAGAAGGCCAACAGCATCCTGACTTGTATCAGCAATAGCATGGCCAGCAGGGCCAGGCCAGATCATCTCCCTGTTCTGGGCACTGGTGAGGCCGCACCTCGAATCCTGTGTTCAGTTCTGGGCCCCTCACTACAAGAGAGACACTGAGGTGCTGAAGTGGGTCCAGAGAAGGGCAATGGCACTGGTGAAGGGTCTGAAGCACAAATCTGATGAGGAATGGCTGAGGGAACTAGGGGTGTTTAGTCTGGAGAAGAGAAAGCTCAGGAGGAACCTTATCGCTGTCTACAACTACCTGAAAGGAGAATGTAGAGAGGTGAGCGTCACTGTCTCCTCAGAAGTGATAGGACAAGAGGAAAAGGCCTCAAGTTGTGCCAGGGAAGGTTCAGATTGGACATTAGAAAAAATTTCTTCATGGAACAGGTTGTCAAGCCTTGGAACAGGCTGCCCGGGGAAGTGGTACAGTCACCATCCCTGGAAGTATTCAAAAGACATGTAGACATAGCACTTAGTGACATAGTTTACTGGCAGATTTGGCAGTGCTAGGTTAATGGCTGAACTTGATTTTCAGGATCTTTTCCAACCTAAATGATTCAATGATTTTATAACTATTATATCTACTACTTCGTAGCAGAGGCAGTCTCAACCTGAGAGGCTCAGCAGCAATGCCAATGTATGTGTGGCAGTGCAGAGCCTATTCTTCCTCAGTCATATGAGCTCTGGGCTGGTTTTGCAACCAGCATCAAACTCTCTGCATAAGTGCAATGCCATACACCCATGAACATAGTACTGCTGAGTTTAACACTAAGTGTGTTTGCATAAGCCACTGTCAGCTTCCTGCTTCAGTATATCAGTACCTGATAAACATTTTTCTTTGATATGCTGGCACTTGTAAGCCACAAATTCCATTATGTGTCACAAGCTGTATATTCTCCAAGGGCTGTAGTACCAACACCATTTATTTCTGAATGCACATGAATCAAACAGTACAGGCTACAGGTCAGTGTCAAAGGTAAAATAATTCCATAGACTGGGAACCCTTCTCTCTGACTGCATAGGCAATGGGTTGGGAAAGACATTTGCGTTTGATGAATTAATCTGGAGCAGCTTGTTACTGTTCACAGCCGGGGCTGCTGATATGAGTGCCAGTCACCTCCACTGCTAACATAAGGAAATGAGGAGTATTACAAAGGCCTTAGAGGGTCGCGTTTCTACTCAGCACCTTAGCACCAGAGATGATCCACTTTCAAGATCCCCTGAACATCTACTGTTTTGGCTACCTCACCCAAAAGCGGGCTCTTCGGGGAACGCCCGAGTGCGAACAGCTGAAGCCCAAAGCACGGCTTCTTAGCCCCTCACGGGTAACTCCCGCTCCTGCTCGGCGAAGCTGTGTCCCAGGAGACCATACTTCTTCCCGTTCCCCGCAAGGAGCGGGCACCGCGACATCTATAACCACCGCAAACACAGCCGGGGACCAGGGCTCACCCTGACAGCCCCACTACCCACCAAGTATAGAGCCCGGCCCGGAGGAGAGAAGGGCCTGAGGACAGGCGGCTATACCACACCCCGCCAGCGCCCACCTCAGCACATACAGCGGTCCCGACGTCCGCGCTCACCACATGCCCTCCACCCCTCGCCTCTTCACACGCCCTCTATGGGGCCGCACTGGCCGCAGCTCGGTTGGGTGGGTGAAACGCCCCCCCCCCGCCACAAGGTGCAGGAGAAGCCGGCCGGCGGCGGGCGCAGGCGCCGCAGCGCTCACTTCCGCGCCATGGCCCGCGGGGCACCAGCGGCGGTGCTTGGCGCTATCGCTTGCCTTTGCTTCGTGGCCCCGGCAGCCGAGAGCTTCAAGAAGAGAGGACCCAGCGTGACAGCCAAGGTGACTCTCGCCCGCGGCTGCGGCGGCTCCACCGAGCGGAAAGTCGCCCAGGGCGCCGGCCTGAGGAGAGCCGGGATGGGTGGGTCTGTCGTGAGGGAGGCCGCGCCGGCTCCTCAGCGGGCCCCGCAGGGGGTGGTTTTCCTGCCAGCTCCGCGCCCGTTGTCGGCGGGTTCTGGAGGGCTGCGGGCCTCCTCTCACCCCGGTCCTATAAGCGTAACGCCGGTCCCTCGCCGGCTCGCTGTTTCCCGGGCCGGATGCCGGGCGGGAGGGAGGCCCCTGCGCGCTGGCTACGGGAAGGGCTTGGACTGATGTCTTCGCTATCCTATTTTGTAAGTGTTTTGATTTTGGAATTTCTTAACCGCTTGCTCACTTTCTGTTGGCGCTGGCACACTTAAACTTTGCGTCAGCGAAGCCTGCCTCTCCCTTACAGAAACTGTAACTTCAAAAATTAAACCTCGCTGCTGCAGGGTCTCTGCTGACGTGGGTTTGATTCTTTTTTTGAGGTTAAGTCTTATAAGCTGGCTTCTGAATCATCTTCTGGCAATATAGTGCAGTTCAATTGTGCATAAAGTACTTAGGTTTTTCAGACCTTCTGCCTGGGATTTCATTTTATGCTCTTTCCTGATCCTTCCGCTGTGGGACATAGATAATTGGACCTGCTCTTCTTCCTTGTGCAGGCCAGTTATAACTTTACTTAGCTCATCATATCACTACGGTTCTCTGTTCCAGCTTGCATAGTTTTATTTAATCTCTCTTCATATAAAAGGTGTTCCAGATCTTTGAGCATCTGTGCTGCCCTTTATTTTCTTTAGATGGGTTTTATCATTCTGCAATAGAGAAGATAGAATTACATAAAGCACTCAGGCTGTGAATGCATAGTGCAAATGTATACAAGACATAATTATGCTTATCTCTTGTCCTTACCCATGTCTAACTATTACAAAAATTCAGTTTTCTTCTCTGATCTTCACAAGCTCAGAGCCAAACTTTTTATCAAACTGCTCATGGTGACTCCAGATGTCTTTTCTGAGTGGTAGCTGATTTAGGACCCGTTGCTGTGGCTGTGTAGTCCTCTTCCATTGGCACTATTTGGATTTACTGCGAGTTTATTTGTCATTGTATTACCTGGTCTGTAGGAATCAGGAAATCTTTGTTTCACAGTCAGTTCCTTTCTCCCAGCCCCAAGTAATTGGCCATTTTTTAATTTCATATACACCATCTTGTGCAAATTATACATTAATATATTGATGGGAACCAGCCAGTCTTACTGGTGCACCTTTTTTTTTTTTTTTTTTCAGTCTTGAAATACTGCAAATTGTACATAAGATTGTATGTAAATATTGGTAAGACTGAAAATGTATAATATTTATTTTCTTTAAGACTTTTTGGTAAAGAATCTGGCCAAATGTTTTTTGAGATTTGAGGCTGCGTTGACCAGCTCACTAGTGCCTGTATGCTTATTGACTTTCCAGAGAACTTGAGGAAATATGCTTAAGAGAACAGGGCTTCTCTATGCAAAAACAGTACCTATGGCTACTGAATATTTCTGTGTTTGATTTCCTTGCCAGAAATATGCACAAACTTGTTCTGTGGTGCATTCTTTGGAAGTGCAGAGCTTTCTGAAAATCACCAGGCAGGTAGCACAGGTATGTGGCATGCTAGCAGGAAGCCAGGAACTAACTCACTGCTGTTCACAGAATTAGCTGATGTTTTGGAAGTACTGGGTTTGTTGCTTAGGAGAGTAGCTTTGCCATGGGTGAAGCCTTCTGGTTGGGTTAGTTTTACAGTATGTGATGGACTTTACTCTGTGTGATCTGTGAAAGTGTTTAATGTTACTGCTATCTGGGGTCACTGTTTGGCAGCCTCAGTTGTGTTACTTACATGTGGTTATATATTTCAGGCAGTCCTTCTACTAGGAGAAAATTTCCAGGTAAAATAAGGTGTGTTTGTAGGCAGGCAGTACCCCTTACCTAGATAACCCTGGTGGCAAAATTCAGAGAGGTATGTTTATGAAAATGTTAAAAAGTTGGTTAAAGTGTGCTGCTAAAACTTTGGGAGCCACACATGTAAGAATTTTATGTTATTTAGTGCCAAGGAAATGAATGAGGTGTATCAAAAGGGATTTTATTTTCTTTATAGAGCTTTTATAGAGTTAGCCAAAAAAGTTCAATAGTCAAAACCACATGGAAGATCAAGAAATGGGAGAAATGTTTAGTAGGAGAGCGTGAAAGAGGCATTCACATTGAAGAGACTGTGGTCATTTAGTATCATTACTGGACTAATTTCTTAGCATTGCAGACAAGTAATATGTGGTTGAGCACCACAAGGAACAGCAAAAACCACATCATAGGAATACACGTTACTGTTTCCTAGAAGTTGTAATAGTCTTTATGTTCTTTAACAGAACCCTAAAATGTCTTTTTTCCTGACAGCTGTTTCTATTTTCAGTAATTTTTGGAACATTTTTGCACGTTCAAGTACGTATTCATATATTCTGAACTATATTCAAATGCTTTATAACTCATTCACATTTTTGAAGTTGCATTCTAACAATGTTTACATTCAAGCTTCTAGGCTTCAAGCTTCTTAGCTGAATAGCATAGCCTGGTCCTTTCTCCACCAGGTTTGAATCCATATTTAGGAAGGCAACTCCCTGCTTGAGCTGTAGGATTTTTTTCCTACTGTTCGTCAATTTAATGGCATTTAGGCTTTAGCCTGTACTTAATCACATGCATAGTAATGCTTAGAACAGTGAAGGTTATGAGTGGATAGCAAACTATCATTTGTGGGGATTGTCAGTACTATACTTCCTTGTTATTGTTCACCACACTGGAGTTCTTTCCTACTTTCATGATTCGTCTTTTCTGTACAGCTTTAAAGACATGCATGTCAGGGAAAAGTGTTCTTGAACACTGCCTTCAAATGTGTGATAGAGCAGTCTCACTGAGCCATTAAAAGCACTTAGAAACAAAAAGTTAATTCACCAGTTCTCAAACATTTTTCTGCATAATCTGATTTTGATAGCTCTGGAAGTATTTTTCTCAAACAGCACACTCAGGAACTGAGAGCTACTATTAATATAGACCAGCCAGAAGCAGTTTCTTAATACCTTGTACTTTCAAAAGCTTGGCCTTATTGTTGCGCTCATGTTTGTATCATTTTTGTTCTACTCACAAAAATGTTCAGGTGTTCTTTGATGTGAAGATTGGAGGCAAAGATATTGGCAGAATTGTAATTGGATTGTTTGGAAAAGTTGTCCCCAAAACCGTGGAGAACTTCATTACGCTGGCAACCGGAGAAGTATGTTTGCAGTTTTCTTCCACTTAAGTGTAGCAAAGTTTGGTTTGGGAAGTAAATATTTGTTTAAAGCTGTTTCAGTTGTGAACTGTCAATCTTAATTCAGTGGAACCTGTGCAAGAGTGCCGTTCCCAAGGTGGTGCACTGGTGTGTGACTTCTCAGGTCCTTGGGACTTGGTTCTCAAGATGTAATTATGAGATGCTGGATATTGATACATCAGACTGTACTTGCCATGCAGATCTGACATGTAGTGGTAGGATATCAGTCAAATAAAGGCTGTGGCTTTGATAACCTGCTTTGTGGCAAAACATTCAGCTACATTCACCTGCATCTCAGTTTAATGTTCTTGCCAGTGTTGTATCTGGTGGTGGTATATCTGTGAAATCTGGTTATTCACCCATATGTGTTTCCATGTGACTGTATAGAACTGGATGTTACATTCATTTAAATAATTATTTCATTTTCTTAGAGAGGATATGGATACAAAGGAAGTAAATTTCATCGTGTGATCAAAGACTTCATGATTCAAGGGGGAGACTTTACAGCTGGAGATGGATCAGGAGGTAACATGTTTACTGTCTTCCAGGTTCCCTTTCCTTTGAATCCCTGCTGAAATGATAGGCAAAACCATGTAATTCCCTCAGTCTTTCAGCTCATAAATGAAATAAATGAAAAAAAAAAAAGAAAGAAAAAGGTTTTAGACCATCTAGCACTTTTCCAGGCATCTTGGAACATGAGCTGCAATTATGTGAATTACTTGATTTTAAGTATGTGTAGAGCTTCATTTGTCTTCAGCTTTTGCATAGCTCTTTTCTGTCTGTGACTTGTCCCCTGTTCAAGAAGCATGGCTTTGTGTGGTGGGTTGGAGCCATGCAACTAACTGAGCTGCTGCTACTACAACATACCATCTCCAAAAGATGGATGTCTCCAGCCTTGCCCTGCCCTGGCTTTGGGACAGTGCTCCTCCCTTGAGGCACTCAGTGATTGCATGTATACGTGAACCAGTTCAAGTCATCCAGCAGAAAACTAATGTGTGATGAAATAGTGTAGTTGTGTAGAGAGAAGGAAGGCAGGTAGGGAAGGAACCCAGCCAGTTCTGTGGAAACTTCAGAAACATGCTATGGGAGGGAATTTCAAAATGGGTAGCAAAATTAGAAAATGAGGGTCATGTCCTCTCCCCTTTTTTCCCCATACTAACTCTAAACCCATAAACCTAGCGATGGTGTGAATTTTGGCTGTTTCGCTCACTCATGAGCCTCCAGAAGGGCAGTGTAGTCCACTAAGGAGGGCAGTCCTTCTCTTGCATTGTGGCTTCTGATCACTTCCTTTACACATGCACGCTTCATGTGCTAGGATTTGAACTGCCTGCATATAGTGTTAGCGATTTCCCCACTGGGACAGAACAGAAAACACACATTCCTTTTCCTTGCAGTGAACAATGGGGAAGGCTAAAATACGAAAGACACAGTTTTAGCATTAAAGGTAGGCAGTGTTTTTTGCCTACTAATACCATTTATTGGGATAGTAGCTGGTGGTGTTGGGAACAGTGTGACCACTGTGCTAGGCACTGTACAAATAAAGAATGAGACAGGCAGCCTTCTCTTTTTGAAGTGTTGGTGGTTTAAACATGACTCAAATGTTTTCTGAACTATCTTAGAAACATCAAAATCTGTATGTAATACGGATGGTACAAGTTCACAACAAACCTTTTAGGCTAACCTCCATTTGATCTTTATATATTTCTAGACATGTCTAAAGTGTTTTCTTATTAGGAGGAAAGGTTGGGAAAGATTAAAATCGTCACAAAACATGGCAACCTAATTTTTAGTGGCCATAGATACATAATTTAAATTTGTTAAGTTAGGGTGAAGTACAGTTGTTCAGTGGTATATGTAAGAAGGACCTTTGAAGGTACTCAGCTTGTTAAATTCAAAGGATAACGCATCATCAGCTTTAAATACTCTCTCCTTACATGCGATGTTTTATATTATCTTTTTCTTTACACCAAAATGCTTTTAGTTGTGGAATCACTGACAACGGAACTATGATGTTGCTGTGTTTAATCAAACAATGAATCTTCAAGTCCTGAATATATACTTTGTTTTTCCCATTTTTGAACTAAAAGGGTTTGGTTTGGTTCAGATTTTTTTTTTTAAGTTTGTTTCTGATTTTTTTGTCACAGGAAGAAGCATCTATGGGGAAAAATTTCCAGATGAGAACTTCAAACTTAAACACTATGGAATAGGATGGGTTAGCATGGCTAATTCTGGTCCAGACACCAATGGATCCCAGTTCTTCATCAGTGTGACAAAGCCTTCCTGGTTAGATGGAAAACATGTAGTGTTTGGCAAAGTCCTTGATGGAATGGTAAGCTAAAAGTAGTGGCAAGATTTATCCAAGAAAATCTGGGCAAGTTCTGCCATGTTTTATTTGCGTTAGTGTAATTTACACCACTGTAGTTCAAAACAGTTGAATGTTATTTAGTATGTATGTAATAGAAAACATACATAGAGCCTGAAGCTGGATGATTTGGAAGTACAAATGGTGACTGCAGAAATGGAAACTTAAATTATGCCTCTGGCTTTCACAGCTTTTGTTTAGGCCACTAACCACCAAAATCAACACTGACATCTTTGCAGATTACAAATGCAGAAGGTTCAGGTTCCCCTGTCGCTAATGCTGTTAGCCATGAAATAATTGTATTTTTCTACAAGCTAAAGTCTGCTTCTGTAGCATGTATTAGTTAAGGATGACACTTTCACTGTTAGGCTTTTTAGAATCATGTGAATGTAAAGTATACAAACAGGTATATTCAGGTCTGTTTAAAAAAGAAAAAAAATCTAGCCCATTCCCTCCAGCTCTGCACAGCTGCAAAACTGATCAAACGCCAAATAGAATTTAAATTGAAAAATGTACTTCCAGCTGATTGTACTCATAGTAGCCTGGTTTTCCTTTTAAGTCATTCTGTTTCATCTGTGTTTTTGAATGAATGGGGGAAACCTGAAGTGCTGCACTGACCAGTTCTTTGAGGGGTTTGAAAACTTCATCAGAACACTTGCCCCCGCTTCCACATTCATATTGAATTTGATTCTCATGAGCTACAGTAGTAGCTGAAAATTTTTGAGGAGCAACTCAGACTAATTTTTAGTTTAGATTAATGCATCAGATTTCTTGAAGCCCAGTTGTGCTGTTACAATTAGAAAAACAAGTACTTCTCATCCTTTACGATCTCTGGATTACTTTTTTTGATCATAGGCTACAGGCAGACCCTGAATGTGCTAGGGTCAGCCAGCTGAAAGGATATTTCGAGTTGCCCCTTCATAATATTTTTGTTAGGTTAAGGTTTTTATGGAAGGGCAAACAACCTTCCTTTGTAAGCTGTGTTTGGGTTGTATAGTGGCATGACTGTTTATGTGGGGAAAAAAAAGGCATGTGAGAACTCCGCAGGGTAAAGGTCTTTAAAGTTGCTTACTATGTAGTAATGCTTGGAGCACTTAGTTGTTCATGTGGTGGTCCCAGTCTTGAGCCATTGCAGTTTCCTTGAATAAACTGAACTGTCTCCTCTTTTTGTTAACAGTCTGTGGTACACTCGATAGAACTCCAGCAGACAGATGAACATGACCGGCCCCTTCAAGACTGTGTGATTGTGAACAGTGGCAAAATAGCTGTAAAAGAGCCATTTGTAGTTGAAGTAGGTGACTGGTGAGACCAACAGTCAGAATGGAAAGTAAAACTTGCCACTTTCTTTTTAAGGCTTGCTGATCTCAACTATTGAGTTTTCTCCTCAAAATACATCAGGCTGTATTTAGATAGTACTTATTATTTGCCAGATACATAAAAAATACGAGCATTTCTGTAACAATTTTATGGAGCTGTCACTCCTTGAAGGTCATGACATATCTCACTAAATTGCAGAAAAAGTCTTTAATGAAAAATTTTAGATGTATTTTTATTTTTTCAAGGTCTGAAATACAGTCAATTTGTCATTTTTGGAGATTTTTGCAGGGTTTCCACCTTTTCAACTGAATATATTATTTTCTGTAACACTTTCAGCATTTTTAAAATTGAAAAAAAAAATGTTGTTTGAATAAATAAACTTTGATTTCAAATAAACACTTAATGAAGAGCTTTTTCTATACCCTTTCCATCTGTGCCTCTGGCCTCTTTTATCACCTTATTTGATTCTGCAAAGCGTGCAGGAGGTGCTGCTTCTCAGGAAATGAGGTGGTAAGATTAAAGCAGGGACGGTGAATTTCTCTAGTATGTCAAAATCCCTGCTGTCTTTCTAAAAAGTAACAGTATTCATGTGCAATCCTGTAATCAAGAAAGAGCAGCTCTGCCTACCTGTTAGGGTGGTGAGGCACTGGAATAGGTTGCCGAAGGAGGTTGTGAATGCTCCATCCCTGGCAGTGTTCAAGACCAGGTTGGACGAGGCCTTGGGTGATATGATTTAGCGTAAGGTGTCCCTGCCCATGGCAGGGAGGTTGGAACTAGATGATCTTAAGGTCCTTTCCAACCCTAATTGTTCTATGATTCTATGATAATCAGTTAAAAACTGATTAAAACAGAAGAGTCCTTGCTTTACAGCACAGTGAATTTTGTAACTCCTAGCTAAAGTTAGTTATGATTTTTTGCAGTTTTGCTCTAGGTCAGAGATGCAACTTCAGGTTCACTGTTTTTGTAATGCTTCTGAATAACTCAAGTTGACAGCTTAACTGGTAGCTTTGAAACAAGGTCAGCATAAGGTAACACTTAGAGACACCTGAGTTTGTTAGGTTCTTTAATGAGAGAGATGTGGATTTTTTTTTCTTGAGTTTCCAGTGTTTCAAAACTCAGGATACAAGAACTGATGCCAGGATCTGAAGAAAGATGCACCCACCTGCACAGTTTACAGTACACCACTGTCGTGGTTTAAACCCAGTCAGGCAACTTGTTCACTCACTCCCAGTGAGTGGTGCCAGGCTGACAACAATCGAGCCCCCCCCCTGCCCCAACCCAGGGCTCTCCCCTTCCCCACTCCCAGAGGAACGGGGAGGAGGATCGAAAGAGTGCAACTCCCATGGGTTGAGACAAGAACAGTCCAGCAACCAATGTACAACACAAATCACCACCGCTACTATCAGCTAAAACAATGATAAGGGAAAATAACAAGGGAAGAGAAGACGATACCACCAGCCAAGAAACGAGTCTACCCGGAAGCCCGTGTCCTTCCGGGTAACTCCCAGTTACCCCCCACCCCGGGCATGACGTGCTGTGGTATGGAATGCCTCCTTGGCTAGCCTGGGTCAGGCGCCCCGTCTCTGCTTCCTCACAGCTTCCCCTCCTCCCTGGCAGAACATAAGCCTCACAAAGTCCTTGGTCAGGGTAAACATCACTTAGCAATAACCGAAAACATCGGTATCACCAGCACTGTTCCCAGGCTGGAAGTCAAAACACAGCACTGCACCAGCTACCACAAAGGAGAAACATGACTGCTACTGCTGAACGCAGGACAACCACTTAACCTTTGTGGTGATGGGTTTCCTGAAGGGTGTTCTGATGCCCACGTGAGGTATCCAGATTGTGGTGCAGGGGAGAGTGTGAACTGGGACAGCACAGAGCTTGCAGGTACTTACCCGCAGCCCTGTTGTAAGGGAACAGGAAAACACTGTGGGCAGGGATTTTCCTCTGCTCCTTGTGACAGGTCACTTGCAGCTCAAGGGGGTGCTTCTGCTGATTCACCATTTGCAGCCCTGGGGCCTCTCATGAGGGTAAATACTGACACTTTTTTTTAGAGACATGAGAAAGGATTACTGTCCTCTTTAAACAAAGCTAGAGGAGGGTCTTTGAATGTGCCTAGTACTACGCAATCAGGCTTCCCATCTTAACCACTGTTAATTTTTATTTCTAGGACTTCAAGTAAAATTCTCTGGGAAGTGTTGGGCAGTAAGAGAGAGAGAGCCTCAGACTCCCTAAAATAGCTCAATTTTTGCAGGTAGCTAAAAGCTTTTCTGGCGGCTGATCTGCAGACAATGTAGAGGGTTCTGGTGACTGAGCAAGTGCTGCGGTCACAGGCCCACATTTTCATCACTCCAGCCAGTTTCTAAACCCATGTGCTGCCAGGACCAGACTGCTGTACCTGCCTAGCTTTGCCAGCTGGCTTTTCTGCAACGCTTCCTTTTTCTGAGCCCAGTGACTTACTGGCTCTGAAATTATGATGACTTTTTTTTCCCCCAAAACATGCACTTTTATGAGCCTATCATGCTCACATAGCATACTGCTGAGAGTCTTAAATGAGCAGACAACCAGGCATTTTCTTGTGCTTCATGTGGAGGTATCTGTGAGACCATCTCTGAGACACAAGTCTCTGAATAGAAATGTCTGAGTAGAAATGCAAAGAAAACACACTGAAGCAGTACATTCATCTAGTACTTTATTTTGTAAAGTCAAGTAGCACACATACAAATTTCCAGTAAAATCTGAACAAATACATATATATAATTATACATCTATAATTTTTAGTTTTATTAATTTACTACTTAATCATATTCTTGCTTTAGCTTACCACAGAGCTGTGTGCCCTGTGACTTACAAAATGTTAAGATATGGATTACAGTCTGCAAGTTGATGTGAAGAGTAAACACACACAGATTAGATGTCATAACTGAATGGAGATGCGTAAATGCCATTGAAAATCCCCTGGTACATAAAGTCATTTCAGCTGAAATCTGCAAAATTTCCTGAGAGCGAGCTATGTATTCCAAAACATGGAAGCAATGTTTTCCAATAGGAACTCCATACAGCTGCACTGGCTCTTTTCCAACCTGATGCTAAGAAGCAGATTCAAAATAAGAGAAATTAACTAAATTTTGAAAGTTGCTTTCTGTCTCTATTTTTTTTTTGGTGCAATTTCTCACACAGTCTCTTAAGTGCCAGCACTTTTAATCTATCCAGTGGCAGCAATGGGTAATATGCTGGGAAAAATCCTGTTGTAAAAATGCTTAGTGTAATTTAGGATAGAAATTACAGTAATAATTAGTAAAGCTTACAGTTCTTTTCAAAGGTTAGTGTAATTCAGTGTAAGACTTTCAGGTTTTAGTGTTAAATAGTTAGAGCATGTCAACATATAAAGGTATAAATAATTTCAATACTGTTGCTTCCATATCTTTTTTAAAGCAGCAATTGTAGTGACACTGATTTTATTTAGAAAGATCGAATGCTTGAACCTAACCTGAGGTTGTGCCTTTCCCTTCTGAGCATAATATTCACGTCTCAGATACTTATTCCTGTTAATTCCATTACACATGACTCGGAGACTTGCTTCAGCTTCTTCTAGCCACACATTACTTCTACCTGGGCAGTAAATGAGGATAAAATATTCCATGTAGAATGCCTTCTATAACTATGTTTGGAAAGTCATCTGAAAAGAAAAAAGAAAGAACTTTGCTTTCTTACCTATGCCAGCACAATATAAATGTTTTTGTGAGACTTAACTAGGTAAGGCCTCATATAATGTGGGTTACTGCATCACTCCATTGTTTATCCGTGCTGGGGATGTGCCATTAGTAATGCTGTTTCAGCATTAAAGCCACTTTAGTGTAGCACTGGGCATTGCATGAATGCGCTGCCAGATTTGTAGCTTATTGATTTAAAGGGATGTTCTAATACCTAATGCTGCTAGGCTCCAGCTCTTTATCTGAATCTTTTCTCACAAGAAGGATGGATTACACTGGCAATTCAATTTCTAACAAAATCTCAATATACTTGAAGAAATTCCAAGATTGCTACTGGGAATACTTCAAAGCTGTTTTTCCATTGTGGTTTACAGAAATGTTTAGACTGAGAAGACTTGAGGATTCCTGTACAGTCAGAGATGATTATATGAGGTAGGAAAATTTCAGCCTGTCTAATCAACATAAAACATCATGTGTTACAAAAAGTCATCCTATTAATATCTGAAGTTAAAAAAAACCCACTATGTTCTTACCACAAATGTAGAGGCAACTGGCACTGAATTTTCACGTTAGATTTAGCATGAAGGAATTACCCAGTAGAACACAGTAATAGTTCCATGCAGGGGAATGTGAGAATGTACATTACTGAAGTGAAACTATTTTTCAAATGCACCAACTCCTGCGTTTGTAATGGAGGGTTCACTTAAATCACTGGGCATTAAAAGTAAGATTTTCTGATCACCTCTTATGATTGCTGCTACACTAGGAGATGGACTGGCCTACAAGAACAGACTGTTTATAGAACCATAGACTCACAGACTGGGTACAGTTGGAAAGGACCTTAAGATCATCTAGTTTCAAAGCTCCTGCCATGGGCAGGGGCACCTCAAACTAGACCATGTCAGCCAAGGCTCTGTCTACCTCGGCCTTGAACACTGCCAGGCATGGAGCATTTATCACTTCTTTGGGCAACCTGTTCTGATACAGAACTTTCCACACTAATCAGATCTTTCCTTCACCTATCAGCCCACAGGCTATTCAAAATGAGGAGATGTAACTTTTATAAAAACCATTAGATACTTGGTAAATTAGGTCACCAAATATGGGTGGGATGTTGCCCCTTATTCTTTCATTAAAATATTTCTGGAGATAAAAATACTGAGCAAAAAGTACATTTGGACTTGGTAAGGAAAAAAAAAGTCCTTACTAGCTAAGTGTTATCTTATTGGCATTAATAAGGTGATTCCAATGTATTAAAGATGTTACAAACAGATATTTTAGGAAGTTCTAAAAAACTGCAACATCCACTGTGAACAATACATGAATAATTCTCCCAACTTCTCATAGTAAGTCATAAATTACTTGTTAATAATTTGAATCCAATAATGATTCCTCAAGTCCTGCAAGCTCAGCTATCCCCAGACACCCTGGCAGAATAACCCTATGCTGTTGTCATTAATGTTATTAAAAGTACACTTGTAAGGGCAATCTGATGCTTTCCTTCCAAATTAAATGCTGCAG